TTTTTCCCATATTTGTAATTAATAACCATAATAAACTGTTATCTAGGAATTCAAACAACAATAAATAAACAATGGGTAAAGCTAAAGTTACATATTTATCCGATTTTATTTATAAGTCACTTTTAATATATTTTCATTAGAACAAAAAAAAATTCAAATCTTATTAACTTTATATGAAAACGCCACAAGTTTTTAACTTTATCCATATTAAATATACATATTTTTAAAATAAAATACTCTAACATTTAATAATATTCTCAATGTCCGCTACTAGGAAAAAACCATTTAAATCATTGTCATGTCACACATTGTTTACATGAAAGTTAGGACATGAATTATTGACTTTATACTTTTCAAGCTTTATACTTTATTCCTTTAATTTTATTTATAAAGCAGGGAGAACATTTATTTTGATCATATTTATGAAATATTTTAATGATTAGTATATTCATTTTTACCATATGCCTTGTTAAAGTTGAAAAGTTTATTAAATACTAAAATATTTTATTTAAAGTGTATATATTTAATAAGGGTAAAGTTATTTTTTTTATAGTAATTAACTAGGGATAAAATTCCATGCTAACACTTTTAATATTTCAATAACTATTTTATTTTTAGTGAGGCATAAAAATGTCATGCCATTTTTGTCCCTAATTATTTATTTTTAAAGAGGTGTAAAAATGTGTCGCTAAGTTTCTCATTAATATCTTATTTTAAAGAGAAATACAAAATTTCTCATTATTTTTTTTATTTTAGAGAGTATTAAAATGCCTCTTTATTTTCTTTGTTAATTATCTTGTTTTTAGAGATGGGTTGAGAACCTCTTTGCTATTTTTTTTTTTATTTTAGAGAGAAATTGATAGGCCCTTGCTAATTAAAATTTTAAATATAAATAAATGATCTTTTACTAAATTTCCTTGCTAATTTAATTTTTTTAGTAGTGGTTTAATAAAGGTAAAAAGGTAAAGATGTACACAATAATCATTGAAGCACTCTATAAATATTATTAAAATAAATACTTTTTATGCTTTATAAATAAGTTCAGGGGAGTATTTTTTTAACAAGAGATAAAATTGAAAAAATTACTCTAATTTTGCCTTACAACCAAGGATAAAAAAAAGTCTTCAGATATGTCTCTATCTTCAGAATTTGCCTTTTATAGAAGAAAGTGTAAAATTTATATTTATTTTCTTGCATCCATTACAGCTAATTTTACAATTAATTTCAGCGCATGTAAACTTCATCATAATATAATATATAATTATAACCCACTATATTAAATAAATGATGAAAGAAAAGAAAAAATCCAAGTTTTGCGATTTGATTAAAGAATCAGTTACTTAGGATATAAATAAAGGGATTTAAATCTTCTCCTAATTAAAGTTAAACCGTTATAGGTACTCACTTAGGTTGCATTTGCTTTTTCTCATTTAACATTTATAATAGACTTTTAAATTTTGATATGTTAAAAGTTCTTTGAATAATTTTTTAGAGAGTAAAATAACTTTTAAAAAGTGGGTTGAAATGGGTTTGAAATATGGATTTTGAAATTCTATTTTTTGGTGAATTTTAAATGTGAGTTTGAAATATGAATGCTATTTTACTCTCTTATTCTTTTATTTAAAAAATAGTTAATTCATTAACAATATAATTATCATTTAAATAATAATAATTAGATATTAAGTTTTTAATATTATAAATTAAATAATTAATTATGTTAACTTTTAACATTAATGTATGATAAAAATTACAAGTCTTTATCATATTTTTTAAATTACAAATTAAAAAAAATAAATAATTAGAGATCTAGTTTTTGGCATTATGGATTAAATTTTATGTTATTTAAAATCTTTATCATATTTTTTAAATATTTTAAATACATTACATTTGTATAATAAAAAATATAAATTATTAAAATAAATGTCCTTTTATAATTATACATTCAAAAATATATTTTATTATCATAATTTAAACAAATTTTAATTTATCAAACTAACTTTTAAAAGATGTATTTAAATATAATTTTATTATAATAATTGACTTTTATTAAACTGACTTTTATCAAATGAACTTTTGACATACACACTTACTCAAATGAATTAATGATTCATAAATCTAGTTAGTGGCTAGATATTTGCCCACGCATGGATATTAAGTTTATAATTTATAATTTAGTTTTTTTTTGCTTGATAATTTATAATTTATAATTAGTTATACATGTTTTCTTACCATGAAAAAATAATTTGTACTTTCCATATTCTTAAACATGACTAATTTGTATGTGTACAGTGATGTGTTAAATAAATATGTTATTTTTAATATTATGCGAATTTTGAGAAAAAATCATAATATCTATTGGTTTTTAAATTAAAAGGGAAATCTAAAGATAAGAGGGGAATAATTCTTTCGCTTATTACGTTCAATAATTCTCATTCTCTGCATTTTATCATCATAACTCTAACATGTTCAATCAATCATTCTCAGTTTATATATATGTAACCGATTTAGTTATATTAACATTCTCTCCGAATCACCTGGAACCATATATCTTTGCTAGCTAGCACATTATGAGCCCTTCTAAAATTTCATATTGTTACTCTCAATATCCCAATATGATTCTAGCTAATCCAAGTCAAACCATAAATATCACAAGCACCACAAAAAATTTTTCAACAGTATTTCATATTCTGCATGCCTCAGGCCATTTTTTTGGCCAAAAGGTGCGTGCCCCATACGTAAATTCAAGATGATTGGTTATATTATTACAAATTAAAAACATGACCGGCTTTTCAAATTAATTAATTAATGTTAGCATTTGTAGGTGTGGATGTTAGGCTGTGTCACGTGCGAAAAAGTGGTCTTGGAAGCCAAACAGGCCAAACCGCGGACCAAACACGTGCTCATTCGGTATCTACCCTCACCTTCCTTCCTCTTCCTCGTCAACCACCCCATCTACCTCTCCTCTTTCTTTCTTTCTTTCTTTTTCTTTTTTAATTTCGTTCGTTTAATATTATTATCTAATTGGATTAAATTTGAACATTGTTAAGCTTAATTAAAAAATTCTCCCAAAATTTTTTTTTACGTTTAATCAATTCAAATTCAAGATGTTGTAATTAAACGGCAATCATAACTTTTTTTTACGAAGGCCATCACCTTTTGGTACCTCCCTCTCCTTTCTACGGTCTTTTAGTTTTGTTTCCTGTGAAATTTTGATTATAATTACAATATCAAATTCTATTGTGATGTGTTTGAATGGATGAAAATTTAAATTTAGATCAAATCTCTCATTTAAATATACAAACATTAACGAACTTTCTCATTATAATTCTTTGCAATTTCAAAATCTTTCTATATATAAAGTAAATGTGACGTAGATGGTAGTGCTTTGAATCCTCTAAACATTATTCTATCATTCAATTGCTGGAAGTGCATAAAAAAAAATAATTTCTTCAAAAAAACCCTTTAAATGATGTTTCATGTTTTTTGAAGATTAGTCACATGACTGCTAACTGTGAAAATATTTAGAGCAACACAAGAAAAAAAAATCTATATCATAATCATTTGAAATTTTACTTCAAACATTTTATTCTTTTCGTGTTTTTATTATTGATATGACTCTTGTATTTTTTCTCCTATTCTGTTCTCATTTTTCATTGATCAAAAATAAAGATAAACTTATTACTTTTTTTTTTTTAAATTTTGGTTTTGAATTTTAATTTGCTCATTGTTTTCTTTTGAATTTTTTTCAACTACCTAAATAAATAATTTAAATATATAAATCTGAAATGTAAAATTTAAAATATGAGTTTTTAAATTTAAAATTCAAACCCAAGTCTTATCATGTATAACGTTACCTTATTTAAAATCAAAATTAAAATTCAAATTTATCAAATACCTTACATAATTCTCAAAAAGTCAAATAAAAAAAAAGTTTTGAGATTCCCTAAAATTCCCTTCTGTGTTTTGGTTGACAACCCGGACAGACTCAATTACTCATTTTAACAAACAAGGAAACCATTCAAGGGGAACGTGAAAGAGTGAACGAAAATTCTTCCATGTCTTTTGTACATGCATATAAAATTATAATCTGCAGATCTAACACACGCATTTAAAATATTGCAAACCTAATCAGGAATCAGGCAAAAATTTATTACATAAAAAATTGGAAACAGCTGTACAATGTGGGATTCTTCATTGTACATCACTAAATCTATTCATGTATTATTGATCTTCCATACTCTTCAATAAAAGGTTATTGTAAGAACATATAGTAATAGTATCTCATATTTAAAAGTCATTAATACATTCCCTTTTAAAATAGTAATTTTCAATCAAGCCAGTCAACATAATTTAGAAACTGGCAGAAAAAAACTTATTTCGGGGGAAATAAAAATCACAATTTCTTTTTTAATATGAAAATAATCATCAATGTTAATACAGAATACAAGACATGTCACAAACGTTGAACAGACATAATTTAAAAGCATAAGTTCACAGGTGAATGTACATAGCATGATTATTAGCCAAATATTAAGTTTATTGTAGTAAGGTGGCAAGTTGAAATATCTCACATTTATCATGAGAGGAATAAATGTGTTAACTTTTTAACTATTTATGCACTTAACTCAGATGTTGGGCAGTACTATTTGCATCAGTCACCTAAAGGTTTGACCCTGCTTTTAAAAGATGAAGCTTTAGGGATTGGATAAACTCATTTATGTAATAATAGATCTTTTTTAGATCTCCCTTCCTTAAAAAAAAAAAGCATCAGTTCGTTAATAGTATTAATCAATTTTACTAATACTGATTATAAATAATTCTTTTTTTTTTGCCAACTAATTATAAATAATTCAACATCGAGTATAAAATTTATAACAAATAGCATCATTTATAAGCCGCAAGCAATGAATATGTGATTAATTATTTAGGCTATGTGCAAGATACTGTACATCACTCCGATATTTGTTTATTTATTTATTATAAATAAAATATGGAAATCAAACCAACAAGGGGAGCCACAACCTTAGTTTAGCATATTGATTTGATCCCTACGTGACCGTCTCCTTGCAAAACCGACCTGCGTTTCCTCCCACATGTGTTTACGACACTTGATCTAGGATCTCGGTGGGATCTGATTCCTTACTCTTCCTCAACCGGCGATCTGAAACTTCTCCCGCAGATTCGAACTGTATTCTTCAATTCCTTCCGATTTTGGTTTGGATCTGAACCTTTTGAACCAAATCCCAGGGGAACATGTTCATCTTCGATTGGTTCTATGGCATTCTAGCTTCTCTGGGTCTCTGGCAGAAAGAAGCCAAGATTCTATTCCTGGGTCTTGACAATGCTGGAAAGACCACTCTCCTTCACATGCTGAAAGATGAGGTTGATTTGGTGTACCTTTTCCAGAACTCGATCATGTTTGTCTTATGTTTTTTTTAATATATATATATATATATATATATCTTTTTGGATAATTGAAATTTGTAATTGATATTTCTTTGCAGAGATTAGTTCAGCACCAGCCAACACAACACCCCACTTCAGAGGAATTGAGCATCGGGAAGATTAAATTTAAGGCTTTTGATTTGGGTGGTCACCAAGTTGCCCGCAGAGTCTGGAAAGACTATTATGCCAAGGTTATTCTTTAATTCTGGTCATTTTTGTATGGTTAATCTTCAATGATAATAGCAATGATCAACTTAATATGATTTGTAGTATTTAAAAAGTGAGATTTGTTGGATGTTTGATTTTAATGTTGAAATTTATCATTTTCTTTTCGAGCAATATAGTATATACTTCCTCTCCAAATGGGCTTTTTGAGTGCCTTGCTGCAGACTTGCTTTCACGTGGATGGAATGGATCATCATTGTTCTTGTTAGGTCATTGGTCTTTTAAAACATGTTAACCTTTCACTGATTTTGCTCCCAATTGCTTTTTGATAAGGTTATGATATAACTTGGATGTTTAGGACTGGTTAACTTAACTCTCGTCTCCATATCTCTAGATCTCATTGGCTGTAACCAATGAGATCCTCTTTATTTTCATATATTAATTGGCTGTAGCCACTCTGATTATCCAAATGTAGCATGGTTACTTCATGGCTGGCTTGTTTGTTAGTGTCTTATTCCTATGGGAAAGATTCATTTTGGGAATGATTTATTTTTCTCTACACTTCAGTGGATGTATGGTTGTTGTTCTGTGAGCATTGAATTTCCGCAGTATGGTCTTTACAAATATATCTGATCTGCTCTTCTTGTCTGTAACTTTACCTTTTATTTTGCAACCAAACTAGTGACTATGATGGTTACTATTTGCTCTCTCCAATTCAGCGATGCTATGCCTCATAATCCCAGATAAAGTCCCTTGTGTTTATCTGATTCATGGGAGGCTAATATTGACAATGGAAGTTTCGCTGATAGCACCACTTTTAACCTTGCAGGAGGTGTTTTTACTAGTAGCTTTCCAACATTCCATGTTTTTTTTTTTTTTTTTTGGATTAACTAGAAAGACAATGACACCCAGATAGAGCGGGAAGAACATGTAGAAGTTACGTGCAGTGTAAATGTTTAACTCTCAATTTGAGTTTGCAAAGAAATGTGTACATTCTTTGGATGCATTAGGAAAATCGGAGATTGGAAATCCATGTATTCTTCACCTTGAGCGAGGAGTAGAGATCATAGTGAAAATAGCTATAGGCTTTTACTTAACAACTTAAACATTTGAGATGATTATGTGATGAGGAATTCCTTGCAAACCCGTATTTTCCTAATTAAAATTAAGCTGCGGCGCAAGTCTACACTTACAGTTTAATTCCATATGAACAGATGTATTAAAGATTACAATACACGTTTCCCGACTAGACATTTTTTGTTGAGCACATTGTTATCCTTCATTGACATAAAATTAATCTGTTATCGTTTTATCATCAGATGCATCACTTCTCGATACGTACCAATTCGTTGATGTTTTCTAAACTTGTTTTATCATAACTCATGATGTAAAGATACAAAAACTCCCTTTCAAGGCTCGGTGAAATTACTAATTTTTTCATTACATTGTACCTGGATTTATTCCTTTGAACTTTAAGAGGGAGTATGGGACATAACACAGACGTTTGTTGGCTGTTTTAGGTGGATGCTGTTGTGTACCTGGTGGATGCCTATGACAAAGAGAGATTTGCAGAATCTAAGAAGGAGCTAGATGGCCTCCTTTCAGACGAGTCTTTGGCAAATGTGCCATTTCTAATATTAGGGAACAAGATTGACATTCCATATGCTGCTTCAGAAGAAGAGCTTCGATATCATCTAGGGTTGACCAATTTCACAACAGGCAAGGGAAAGGTCAATCTCTCAGAATCCAATCTGAGGCCTCTTGAGGTGTTTATTGTGCAGCATTGTTCGCAAGATGGGATATGGAGAAGGCTTCAAGTGGATTTCCCAGTATATCAAGTAGATATTTCCCCTCTTGTTAATCAATTAGCACCATGTCTGCAGTTTTCAGAAGAGTTTCTTCCCCCTGTCTTTCAATTGGTTCTTGATTGGATTATTTGAATCTCACATCTGCAGGAATGTTATGTGCTGCATTCTGTATCTTAAGAGCATTTTTTGGGGAACAATTTTCCTTATAAATTTAGTTTACTGTTTTTTTTTTTTGGATATTGAAATATTGAATTGCATTCTATGTATTGTTGGGTGATATTATTGAAAATTTGTCCTAAGTGCCAAGTTTTAAAAGAGAAAAGCGTTTGAAAGAATCTTATTTGACTATTTTCTCGGTTGGTTACTTTTGACTGGAAAGGCGAAGTTGTCTTCGATTTTTTCTTTTTGTTTCTTTCATGTGGATCAATCACTCCATCGCCGTGCCATGGCATGGGCAGCCAACTTTGACTTTGGCAAATGATTCTAGAAAGTAATTTAGTTTTTTTTTTTACAGATTAAAGTTTAAGTAAATTGGATCTTAGCTTTGGATATGTCTACACTCAATCAGAATGGCGTTTACTAACAAAATTTTATATCAAAAACCAATTTTATGAATGATAAAGTAAATTTTTATCAATTAAATAACTTTTGTTAGTAAAAATAATGTAGTTTTCATAAATATTTTAAAACAATTCTCACCTTTAGTTTACTTATTAGACTCATTTATTTCATAATTCTAATACAAAATTACTTAAAATAATATCATCTTTATGAAATTCAAAATTTATTTTATCAAATATTTAATAATAAAGTATAACTTATTTAAACGAGAAAATTTGAAAAATGATATTGTTTATTAAAACTGGAGAAACCTATATTTTTTCCAGCATAATAATTTTTAGTGTGGAATGTGGATCCATTCATTCTTCCTCCAATAACAGGTCGGCTCGATGTGAGATGCGAAGTGGAAAGCACTCGTAGAAGAATCATTATCATTGTTAAATAATGACACAGCAACATTATTACCAGCATGCTAGAATTGATCAAGTCCAGGTTTGAAAATTTGCCAGTGACCTCATTTATTTTTTCTGGTTTTGGGGCCAACGTCAGTGACCTCATTTTAGTAGACATTCACTTGTTATTACATTATTACACCATAATACAATTTCTGAAGTATGGACAATTTGATATGCGATTCATTTTTTTTTTAAAGAAAATAATAGTGTCTATGTAGGTAAAACGGCAATTTTACCTCTAAGCACACGGCATGCTCGTACCTATCGCAGTTGAAAAGGTATCGCTACCTTGGTTTTACCCTTTTTTTTTTTTAACGATTAGGCAATTCGTTATCCCTTGCTTGCAAATTGGTGTTTATTCTAGCTTAAGTCTCTTTTGATTCTGTTCTTCTGACACGTAAGCGTCTCCTGAGGACATCATTACTGCCACAGTAGCATGTCTAATGACGCGTATCAGCCAATCACATCCCTCCAACTGGAACTCATGCTTCTTAACTGGCTATTCTGGTTTCCAAACTTGCCAAACATTAGCCTCATTTTGATCATTATTCAGCGTCTTGTTCACTGGCCCCCACCGGTAATCTGGCTTTCTCGGGCTCATCATCGCGCAAAATTTCTCTTCGGTCATTCGTTTTCTTGGTGACTCTTTGATTATTTGTTACTTTTGCTTGTGGTCTCTCTCAGATCTTTTCTTATATATTCTTCCTCTTCGCATCGCTGATTACATTTTCAGCGCTCTCGCGGCGGATTTTTGCTTCCTGAGGAACAGCGCGCAAATTTCCCTGCAAAATGTTTCTTATTGATTGGTTCTATGGGATTCTAGCATCACTGGGTCTCTGCCAAAAGGAGGCGAAGATCCTGTTTCTCGGGCTAGATAATGCTGGGAAGACTACCTTACTTCACATGCTGAAGGACGAGGTTGTGTTTTATTCTACAATTCCACTAAATTTTTGGTTTAGGCTTCAGTGGTTTTCTTGTATCGAAATTTCTTTAACTTCTTTTAGCAACCACTCTCATTACTTCCTGCCAGTCATCAAATAGAATAGTTCTAATTTCATTCAGCCACTTGCTCCTATATTGAAGGCTATTTATTTATTTCAGTCTTCCTGATTTCGCAGAGATTAGTCCAGCATCAACCTACTCAGTATCCGACTTCGGAGGAGCTGAGTATCGGGAAGATAAAATTTAAGGCCTTTGACTTGGGTGGGCACCAAATTGCACGTAGAGTCTGGAAGGACTATTACGCTCAGGTGTGTGTCTGGTTTAATTTGATTTAATGTAGTTTTTTTTGCAAAGAAAAGTATTTATTTACCAGCAAAAATCTACAGCACACAGTGGCAGAACCAGCGTTACATAGGAAAACAAAATAAACCAACAACCACCTCCCTAACCTACCTTTCCCTTCTGAACACGGTACATATCATCAGCCCATCTCTTGTCTATCCAACACTCTCCCAGCACTGGGCAACACATTACTAGCATCAGTCCTGATAATTCCTGCCAAACAGAATGGGCATTGCATGATTCCAACCAATGGGGCGCATCCTCTGCAGAAAGCCTTCACCACCAAATTAGCTGTTTTGTTTATACTCCTGGGAAACCATTTTTAAAATTGATGCCTGTTCTGCGAGTGTTCTGTTTAGCCAGAGTGGGTTAGTCGGAGGTTCAAATTTCATCTTTGATAATCTAAATTTGCTATGAAACTCCACCCCCTAATTCTCAATAATCCAAAATTGTTGAATTCTGTGCAATTCAAATTGCTCCTGTATTTTGTGATGTTTTTTGGGAGTGATTTTGTGTCCGGCTGTTATATCGACATTAGGTGGCATAACTTGACCCATGCAGTTTAAAAGATTATTCCTTTGGTTATGTTTGCTTAGACTTTAAGTTGGAGCGTGTGCGTCTGTTGTTTTAGTACATGATCCTTTCCTACATAGATGGGTATCAACAGGAAAAAAAACTCTATTCTTCTATTACTTTATACATCGTGACATTAGACTTAAAATGAAGACGGGAAAATTTCCTTCTCCTTTGATAATGTGCAAAAGAGGATTTCACCCTCAGTATCCTGCTTTTGATCTGTTATTCCGTTGTCTCATGGACTGAACCATCTATTTCAACAGTATGGAACTAAGTTTCTTGATAAAGGGAAAAAACGTGGACAGACACTGAGCTCGTATTTGAGTTTCACCTCTGATTAGTTCTTTAAAATGTAACTTGTGTAAGTCCAAGCATCTTGATTTCCTGCCAAGCCACTTTAATATTTTTCTGTACGAGTTTCAGATTCGCTGAAACATTTGAGAAAAAATGTTGCACAAGCTATATCAACAACAAGAAGACAGTGGTTATAGATTTGTGGGTAATGTTTCTTATTCAGAAATAATCAGCTTCCCTTGCCTCAGATGATTGCATTAGATACAATTTTTCCGAAGCATGGGGTTCTGATGCTTGTCATGCATGATTCTCTTATATTTCCAATATCATTACACTGTTATGCATAGCTTTCTTGAAGCTTGTAATAAGCTGGCTACAATGAATCCTGGGGACTTTATTCTTGTATTGTTAACTAATTATTTAGGACTTGTTTGAGTCCTCTGTCTGTATAATTACGCGTAACTAAGATGGAAGTTGCACCCTCCCTTTTCAATTAATTATGAAATTTCTGTCGTGTAGGTGGATGCTGTAGTCTACCTCGTTGATGCATTTGATAAGGAGAGATTTGCAGAATCAAAGAGGGAGCTAGATGCTCTTCTTTCTGATGAGTCTCTAGCAAATGTGCCTTTCCTCATCTTGGGAAACAAGATTGACTTACCTTATGCTGCCTCTGAAGATGAGCTGCGGTATCCTATGGGCCTCACTAACTTCACTACGGGCAAGGGCAAGGTCAATCTGGCTGACTCTAATGTCCGTCCTCTAGAAGTGTTCATGTGCAGTATTGTCCGCAAGATGGGATATGGCGAAGGCTTCAGGTGGCTCTCTCAGTACATAAAATGAGGCGGGTGAGTAGACATTTAAGTGCGCTCGTAGCTTCGGATTATCATCGTGCTGATGATGCACTCACATTAGTATTGTAATTTTCAGATGTGGCTGCCCATGTAAATTGGATTCTTAATTGTAGCTATATGGGCTTTCGGGCAGGGTCAATGTGCTTGTGTGTCTGTACTGGTTTTACTAAAATTACAGAATTAATAGTGTTGTGTGGTTTTTTTTTTTGGATAGGAGGGTGTGATTTTAATGTTTCTGAGATGGCTTCATGGGTTATTGGGAATTTGGGAGGTGACTTCCGTGTTTCAAAATTAGATCTGTGTATAGCTGTTCAATTTGTATTCGGAAAGTAAAAAAGTTTACATTGCTTTTCCGCCTTAGGTTATAATAATTTTGACAGCTTTCTTTCCCTATTTCCACAATAGCATTTCACTCTCAAGATTGAAAATCGTCCCAATGGTTAGCGGCATTTACGCTAGCTATGGGAGAGATTCAATTCAAGTTTCGATTTTGCTGTTAATCCGCTTCTTTTAGTGGTACTCCCTCCGGTCCCATTTATAAGTCCAATTTTAGAAGGTGTATTTGGTCTCATTTATAAGTCACGGTGCGTCTTTTAGGTAAATTTGAGAGGTATTTCCAAAATTACCCTTATGAGAGAGAAAAAGTACAGAACATTACTTTTTAGTTTTGTTGTATATAGGTGCATGTTTGGAATTTTACTTACTTTTATTCCTTGTACTTTTATTGTATTGGTATTGATCCGGTTAATGACTTATAATCCTGAGTAGTACTTTATTGGATTGACCAGGCTGTAAGTTTCCAGTATCAATCTTGCGGTTGAGGTATTCTGAACTTGTGGGTCCTCTAATGACTCCCACACTGCAGGTTAGAATTCAAGCTTTTTTACGAGAAAAAGAGTTTAAAGGATAGTCTACAATTTATTATTAATAAGTACAGTTAATCTCTCTCTCTCTCTCTATATATATATATCTATCCATCTATATATATATATATGTATAACTGAATGCCCGTAAAAGTGTCTCATAAGAGCCATCTATAAAGCTCATTCAATTTCATGGGTTGCCTCATGAATCGAGGAAAAAACGTTTTGCAGTATTGTCTGCAAGATGGCAATTTGGGCCCATCGTTAAAGAATTAGCACCTAAATGGGTTAACCCTGTTTTAAGGCTCTATTTTGCAAAGCAAGCTTTAAACTTAAATTTTTTTCCTTTTTTCAATTGAAAATTAAAAAAAACATATTTATAATCTCAAAAAGGTTATTATATATAAAATTAAACTTAAGAAATTAAATTTAAGTAAATTCACATCACAATAATAAGCAATATATAAAATTTAAACATCTAAATCTAACAAATAACAATATCAAAATTAATACCAATAAAAATTAGACTTTGCTAGCATAATTAGCAAAATCTTGAAGATTATCATCATTATGATTATCAACATCAATATAATTTGATCATTCTTCTTATGGAGCCTCCTTGGTGGCAAAGATATTAATATTTTAGTTAGTCTTTTATTTTTTAATCTGAAATTAAAAAAAAAGGTTAAAAAGGGTTGACCCTTTTATTTTTAGGTTAAGGTTGGCCCTTTTAAGCTCAAATGATCATTTCTTATTCTAAAATAGTGGCTAGTATTTACTAGTTTTGAGTTTGAAAGGGCTATTCCAACGGGCTCTATCATAATTGCTTACCTAAAGGTAAGCATCATCATCAAAAATGAAAAATTTATGATTTGGCATTTTATTCATGAATTGTCATGGACACATTGATTGTGAACTTGATCGAGCTAACGGTCTTTAAAAGATCTTGTAAGTTCTAGAATTGAGATGTTTACCTTTAAACCTTTTTTGATAAGTGATGGGTACCTTGTACTAATAAATAAAGTAATTTTTTCTTAAGAAATTTTTACAAGAAGTGAAAAACCCTCACGATAGTCAATCATTAACTTTATTGTTTTTTTAACTAATGTAACACATCCTTAACCCATAAGCAGTGACATTATGACTTTGATTATATCCTTTGATGTTAATTTACTATTGAATTCTTTTTCTAGGAGCGTTGAATAATATGAAATCTTGTTAAAATAAAATTTAATAAATATTATTAAAATATTAAATATTTTAATATTTAATAATTTAAATATTATTATTTATAAGTATTCATCTAAAATTTATAAATTATATTTTAAACACTAACAACACAAACTAGTTTTTCAAAATTTATACTTATCCGGTCTTATTTATAAATCACTTTCAATATATTTCACGAGAATTAAGAAAAATCTTAAAATTAATTAACTTTTCCTAAGAATTTAACAATTTCTCAACTTTGCTTTTATTAAATATACATACTTTAATAACACATTTTCTTTCTCAAATATTAGATGGAAGGTAAGAGTAAAAATTTGTGATGAAAATTTATTAATGTGAATTATAAATAGGACAAAAAATTATTCTCTATTTACTCTATAAATAAGACTAAAAGTAGGGGTGGTCCTACGTGGTGGCCAATGTGGGCAAGTGCTCCCTTAAAATAGAAAAAATTACATGAATATATATGGTAAATTTTGCATTCTACCCCCACTCATCTTTATTTTTTGAACCCACTGAAATATGGCCCAAATCAAACCACTATTAAAATGTTATACTAAATAAATTGCCCCTAGTGACTCAGGGTCTTAGGACCACCACTGACTAAAGGGAGTATATGACTTATGATTTTTTTATATATCGATCATATTTTTAATATTGACTAAGTTCATCAAATTTTTTAAGTCATTCTCTGTAATTTTTTTATCAACTAACAGTTTTCCTCCAAAATATTATACCACCTAAATTTAATATTTTAATATTTTAATATTTTATAATTTGGTATTAAAAATAGAGGAAATGAACTTCCAAATTGATGGATGGATTTTTTCCCCTCATCTTTCCATTATTATCTTGTTAAGTAGTTATTTTTGTAGCACGTTAATAGAACAAGTAATATCTTTTAAATAAGCATTTCTATTGATATGTTAGTCTTGGTCTGACATGTTTATGATCTTACCCTTAATTGTAGCATGTAGAGAGTAATAAATTTAAATGATGTAATATTTTGGAGAAAGATTGTTAGTTAACTAAAAAACTATAAAAAAATGACATAAAAATTTAAGATACTTAACAGAAGAATTTCAATCAAGGAACATGAAAGAAAAATATCTATCGATGGGTCTCCAAAAATTTTGAAATTTAACTATAAGATTTCTAAACTAAATTGAAATAAAATGGATGACTAAAAAAATTGAAATGCCCTTTTGCAAAAAAAAAAAAGAAAAGAAAAAAAAATGATTGACAACTTATATTAGTAAATGAACAAGTGAAGTTAAAGAATTAACAACTAATAATTTTATATTTAGGGAAAAGTAATTGAACTAGTATGATTATTGACAAGTCATATAATTTACAACTGATATTGATAAATTAATAGGTAAAAGTTAGATAATTAACAAATAATGTTAGTATGATTGTTGATAGGTAAAGTCATGTAATTTATAATTGATATTAGTTAATTAACAAGTGAAGCAAAAAATTAATAACTAATGATGATGCTTTTTGGTCAAATTGAGTGAACAATTTTTGTAAAGAATTTCCAAGTCAAGTAAGTAGTTAACAAATCATATTAATAAAATTAACAAGTAAAATTATGAAATAAACAAATGTTCTTAAAATTATGGAGTTGTGGAATTAACTAACTAACTATTTAACAAGTACTATTAAGGAATTAATAAGTACAAGTAAGTAATTAATAAGTAAAATTAGGTAGTAACCAAATACTTGTTAATTTTGCAAAAGGACATTTCGGTCTTTTCAACCACCCATTTTATTTCAATTTAGTTTAGAAATTGTGCAATGAGATTTTAAATTTTTTGAGATCCACCAATATATATTCTCTCTTTCGTGGTCTTTAATTGAAATTCTCCCTACTTAATATTAAAAATATAATTAATATATAAAAAATTACAAGTTATTTATAAACTTTAGAGGAAAAAAAATTAATTCAAGCTATTAATATTTAAAAAATAATTTACATATTTTAAGTAAATATTTATAAATAATAATATTTAAATCATTAAATATTAAAATATTTAGTGTTTTAATAATATTTATTAAATTTTATTTTAATAAAATTTTAAGAACAAACTAATATTAAAAGACATGATTAGAATTTTACTTGTCATTATATATATGCCCCATGAATTTCCTATTTCTGTTCCTATATCAACAGAAAATGACAAAATTCATGATTAAAAGATACTTTTTGCTTTTTAACAGAATTGTTCAGGAAAAACAATTGTTGCCCCCTAAATGCCTAGCACTCCTAAAAAAAATTTAAAAATAAGAATGAACCTTAATTTTAACACACGCGGATAAGCTATGTGCCCTTGAACAGAAAAATTTGAAAAATTGTTTCAAAATATGTTGTAATTACTTAGTATTTAATAACAGCATTGTTAAAAACAGAGCACTTATCAGGTCGGTGGATCGCGCATCATAAATAAGCACACCTTGCCAAACAAATTAGGAAGAACTTTTGAATTAGGTAGGATATTGGGTATTAATAGAGTCCTCCAGCAGATTTGTAGCAACTGGCAACAATTATTTTGTCAATTCAACCCTAGAAAGGCATGCCACCCAATGTAACCTTAGATGGTGCATTAAAAGTCTGTCTTAGAAATCCCGTCTACACATAAGAATTTCACATTTCACAAACAACCCTTTCAGGATATTAAATCAAATTGAAAGGGCTGAGGAAGATTCAATTCAAATCTACACTGGGGTCTTGGAATTTACAGCATCTACACCCTACATGCATATTACAAACTATACAAAATGGGGATTAAACAAATATACCATTCCTTTTGCCACACACAGCCTGCCTTCTATAGAATATCAACCTCTGAATTGAGTAGCTCTTCTAATTCGAGTTCCAGCTACAGAAAGCAATGTTCACAAAGTTAAATTGCCCGGTCAAATCAAATAATTGAAACAGTGAAAATACATTGCATGAAGTTGTTACCTTTGCCTGATTGTGAGCCAGCTTCATCCTCCTATAATCTTCTTGTGCTTTCTTTGAACGGAACATGGCCTGAACACGTACTACAGATCTCTCCACACGTTCTTCAGCTTGTTTCCGACCAAGCCGGAAGAAGTCCTCTTCTGTGTCACTTTCCAGCTTTGGTTCTTGCTCTTGTTGGACAGGATTTACCTGAAGTCCACGGAAGCCTTTTCTCTTTAATCGCCACCGCAGGACTGCCTTTTCAAGTACTCCAACAGACCAGAGAATTTTACGATACTGCTTCCGCACTTGGTAGCCCCGGAAAGCAGCCTGCATTGACACATGCAATCAATCCATTCATGAACATAAATTAATATCAAAACTAAGGAACATGTAATTTTACGGGGGAGAATCTGCTTCTGGTCCCATTATAAAAAGTTGGAACCTAAGAACACAGCTGAACTCCTGTCAATTATACACAGTCAGGCTCCAGTGAACCCAGCTAAAGGAAAGGTCAAACAAAACTCAGACACGCCTGTGACACATGGATATATATATATATATAGATGGACAGTAAATATATCATTTTGCGGTCTTACTGCCAAGGAAGAGAAATGCAGGTTCTCTGCTCAACAACCTAAGCACTTCCCTTTGCATTGCTGAAAGATGGGACCCAAAAAAAAAAAAAAAAACAATACAAGAAAACCATTCCGAGATCCTACATTCCAAGGGACTAAATCAATAGTCTCTCGGCAGTATAAGCTTCATTTTACCTTCTGTTTTTGGGAAAAAGTAAGATATGCCTTGATTCCACTCATTCTAAATGTATACAAACTAATCAACATAGTTATGCGTATGAGGAAGAAAAGAGATTGACTCGTGAATCTCAGGTGGACAATTTGCATGAGAAAAAGATCCTCCATAACTTGGAAAACGAGTCAGGTTAAAATTTGTGCAAACGGCTCTAGCACCCAAAAAAAAAAAAAAAGACTCGAACAAAGCAGCTCGGATATGCAAAGTCACGTGTGTTCACGGAAGGCAACCAGATATATCATAAGCAGGAAGGTTAGCCCTTACTTGGATTCTGATAGCCTGCTGTCGCATGTTGAGAAATTCTCTGCGCAATTTCCATGTACGGAACCTATGCTGGATGCGACCTGCAGCTGCCATCATCCTCCTTGTGTTATAGTTGCGATAGGCATGCTGAATCTTCATTGCTGCAACAATCATACGGGCTTCGTCCTCTGGATTTAAAATCTGAACTGCCTTTGCTCGTACTTTGAACGAGTGCTCCCTAAATGCAGCCTGTATTCGTGCTGCAGCCTCAGCAGTTGTTCGGTAAGCTGCTAATGTATCCTTTAGGTATAGCTGGTCCGCAGTGAGATTGTCATAATCTGCTGGATCATTTGTGTTTGTTTCCAGTTTGCCACTGATATTTCCAGCTAAGCTCATGTCGTTGAACTGCTCAACCAGAGATTTTTCTGAAAGATAAGCTGCTAAGCCTTCATAACCCTTCATGAAAGCAAGATCAGCAGCAGTACATCCACCAGGATGTTGTGGAGTGGGATCTGTGACTAAGTTAGGCTTTGCCCCAGCAGACAACAGCAGTGCAACCGTTTTCTCCCTACGAAACAACTTTTGGTCAAATAAAGATAGCATTGGACTTTAGCTTAAAATGATGATAGCTATTGGAACCTGACAAGGTGCTAACCGAGGAAGGAGATTGGGCCATTGGTCCAACCATCAGGTCACTAGTCAAAAAGGTCATTGTGTTGAGAAAATATATTACAACTTCGACACCACATTTTTTGCATTAATAAATATATCACAATAAGATTATTTTTAAATATTTTTAATAAATAAACAGATATGACTTTTTAATAAACTTAAATAAATTTTTAAAACAAAATATAAATATCATATGTTTCATTTTGATTAATCTATATCAGAAAGTTTTGTTATTTTATTTAAAATAGAAAACGAACTTTAAGGAAACCAAAGTACAACTTTTGTCAGTTCAATACGACTTACTCTACAACGGGCTCGCATTGGTTGGATTATTTCTTGATTTACTCCTTGTATACTTTAAAATACTTATTTCAAAAGCACATGGCCCAGGTGTGGGGTGTTTGCTTATAAGCATCCAGTTAACACTAAATAAAACTTCATTATTGCAAACATTCCAGTTCAACCAACCTGGTTTATGTTTCTGGGTTAATAAAAACCCATGCCTGAACTTTCGCCAGTTCTATTGTATGTTCAGCCTGGTTGATCAGTCAATCCAATCTTGGTTTCATCAACCATGAGATGAACAATAAAAGCTCATTCAAATTCTAACCGGATTTAAAGGGAGAAAGAACTTGTATAGTTGTGTGAAAGTATTACTGCATAGACGGGCAATATACCAAAATCATGCTATATTCAGATGGCTTTATATTTGAAGTTGTTTATCTAGAAAGACAAAGATATAGAACAGAAATTGACTTTTGAACTGTATAACCATATCAAAAACGAAATTGATTCAATTTGGCTGCAACAAACTTAATGGATCAAACAGTGGGACATCTGAGAGCATAAATATGTACCTTCCACAGTATGCTGCCCAATGAAGAGCTGTCCATCCAAATTTATCACGAAAATCTAGTGACAAGCCCGATCCTGAAAATATTGAAATAGCCCAATTATATCCCAGAATTGCGCACAGATGGATTACACCTTGACCTTGAGAATCATATTCAGTAGTCTTACGGCCCAAGAGAATTCTTTCCAATAGCCACTCCTTTAATCTGTTTTTCAAGGACGTTTCAAATAGTGCATCTTTGGCTCGAGGAAATGGAGTTTTGTTGCCTTCAGTTGACTTAAGCAAGTATTGCCAACTGTTGGAAACCAATGAGGTCTTTGAAGCAAAGTTCCTAGCCTCATTTATTGCATTATGTGATACTTTATTAGAGATAATATCAAGACTCTTATGAGTACCAAAAAGCAAAGAAGCAAGCCTCGTTTGAAGTCGAAACTCAGCCCAGTTGCACGTCTCTCCTATAGAGGCTGTAGGCTCATGCAAAATTGGAGTACGATACTCAAAATTGACAACCTGGCTTATGGGCTTATGGCCATCAAGGCTCATATAGAGATTCACGAATCCTGGGGAATGTGGTGATACCCAGCATCGGTAGACCCCAACTTGAACAATTTCAACCCGAACACTTACATCACCACAGACACAAAATAGATCGGACTTTTCATGGTGCAGATAGTTATAATGAAAGATTCCAGTGAGCAGGATCTGCAAGAAGTACACAAACACCAGAAAGTCCAGTAACAAAGGCAAAATAGATGGTAGTGAATATGGGACTTGGTTACATGCCAGTTAATATGTAAAATCTGTAGTGACAATTTGCAATGATGTAGCAAGAGATAGCTCTTTAATGCCAACTGTAAATGCATTAATCTATACTAAAAAAAGAACTATGTGGGAGTTTGGCTCTCAGCGATTAAAGCATTTGAATTTTCCAAGCACAATGTGTTGCTCAAGACAAATTAGCAAGATATTGATACTTTTGATGCCAAATGACAATTCATTTATTTGAATTGGGAACGAAGAGAAAATTTGTATTTCTGAGTCGAACTCTTGGTCTCTAAAGCTTTTGAATCATGCAAGCAACTGTTCAGAACAAAGTAGGAGTTGTTACCTTTGATGCCAGCTGAAAATGCATTTGTTATACAGAAAAATAAATGAGAACTCAGCCTGGAGTCTTTCCCAGCGTTCAAAGCGTTTTTACAAGCACGTTTTATTGCTAAAGACAAAATTAAGAGGTTGGACTCATCCAGGAAACCAAATAATACACAGTTATAATAGAGAATGGTTACTTGGAAGTAGATAAATAAGAATAGGAAGGGGAAAAAACCTTGGTATTCTCAGTGGAATAAGCCCATGCAGGCGAGACCTCGGTGAGGTTAAAAAGTTTTTCAGGCAGAGGTTGCTGATGATCCTCTACAGGGAAGAATATGGTTCTTGAATGGACATAACAGGCGACTCAATAGATGACTCTTCCACAGAACAATGCGGATCAGAAATCATGTGGTTGATCCACCTTCCAAAGCTGTCCTGACTCTGCAAATTATCATTGACCAAAGTGTCCAAGGAATCAACACCACCCACGGAGACAGGATATCCCTTCTGCGGATTTGGATTTTCTTGATTATCTTTTGTCAGAAGATCTATAGTTTCTGGGAAACTATAAGGTGCACTCCCAGTTATAGGTTGTGTTATGTCATCAAGAGAAGGAATTTCAGCAGACAGACTGCAGCTTACCTGGTGACAGAAACCCAGTAGAAGTAATCACAGAAGCTGGCACAAAGTAAGAACAAAAAGTTTCGAGCTAAATAACTTAATGAAGCCAAGCAATCCCTTTCTATGTTTTATGCATAAAATACACAACTACGCTTTTAGTCTCCATCCAAATGATTCATTGACACATATAAAAACGTAAAAGTAGTCAACAGTCAATTGGTTAAGTCAGCCAAAATAAAGAGGCAAAGTTAGGTCTAAACCACAAATGAGAACACCTAGAAACGAGGAAAAATATAGAAAGTCCACAATAGTATTAAGCATGCCTAACAATCATTTGAAGGCCTCTTAACCTGGCCGCAGCTTTTTGAAAGTGATTGCTGGTGAATAGAATAATATTATATTTTGATAAGACTGATATTTTCATAACTTATCATCATCCAAAGAGAAACAATTTTTTCTTTTTTTATTGTGCACAGATATCCTCCTATTAGAGGCAATTGTAGGCACAACAATTTTAATAGTGAAGATGGTCATGTCAAACGCTGGAATCTAAATTCTTGTCTATCATTTGAATCTGCTTCTAAAAAGGCATGATAAAACCACCTCTTTTAATAAATTGCATTTGTATATTTATAGGAAAGAAGCTTTGACGAGAAATCACAAGGCTAACTGTCCAATCAGCAGAAATAAGCCAAAAACAACAAATAAATAAAAGAAAGACAAGATCTTCTTACATTGTTCAAATTGCGATTCAGCAAAGGCTGATTTTGTTGATCAAAATATGAAACCTTGGCTGCAAAAAGTTATATCAGATTTAAAGGAACAAGGTGTTTTCAGACAAGCAACTGATTCCGCTGAATCCACAATCTTTTACCTCCAATAGATGTGGTGGAACTGTTAAGATCATTTGTAACCACAAGATCATCCCATTCAAGCGTGTTAAGCTCAAGAAGCCTCTGCTCATGACTCTTGAGTTTTGAATTGTCATTAATTTCTGCTTGCCTCCAAAGAAAAAGGGATCAGAAATATAACGCATCAAAGAAAGTCAACAACAGCATCCTCAACATCAACGAAATACCATATTTTAACATCCTACTACTATATGTGGCATCATAAACAAAAATAAACTCCAATCGGCTATCTTTGGGAAAGATAAGAGGGAGAAATATAAGCTTTTTTTTTTTCTTTTGGGGGGGGTCAATATAAAGAGACATGCAGCTTATCATTAGGTAATGGCCATGTCCATTCCGCATCATTCACTGTCCTGAGTTTACCAATATATGTATACAGATATGAAAATCTTTACAGGTATAGTTTGCAATAAATAATACTAAATCCAAAAGTTCTTTCTCACCACCAGCATATGGATTGTTGGTCCCAGAATCCAATTCTTCGGATAAAATCAATGGTGCAGTTGGATCAGAACTTGAACTAGAATTTGAATTTACAGGTGTAGTTGGAGAGCCCTGCAACTGTATCATAAACAACAGCTCAACGTAGGTTAGAATACCAATTTTCATCATCCAGATTAAATGGATGGTAAGTTTAAGTCTAATTATAAAGCTGCTTCAAGTATTCCAACACAAACAGATAGGCAATAAATCTACCATGGATGAGATATTGATGCCAAAATATACAGCTGTCCCAGAACAAGAGTTGCACGCGCATACACACACACACAAAAAAACAGAAAGAAGAAATAAAAAGAATTTTCAACTAATTGAGGACAATGTGATGGATGCAAACGTCTTGTCATTAACTTTGGTGAAAAGACATAGTTTCAAGTTTATGATACCATTGAAAGGGAACTATATTAATTTTATGTCATAACCTGAACTTTTCAATCAAACAAGGAAAGTTGGATACCACAACTCACATAAAATATGGGTAAAAAAAAAACGGCATTATATATGTTAGAGATGACCACAGAACAATCTAAAAGCCTCCACTTAACAGCTGAAGCTTTTGGGTTGAAATGATTGTTGACATGATACTAGAACCTCTATGATCAAGTGGTCAAGAGTTTGATTCTTATTACCCTCTATTCTCTTACTTAAGTTCAACTTTCAACACAAAGGAATGGTTGTGCTTTGTCCGTACCTAAGCCCATTAGGCTTTTTATGTGAAAGAACATGTTAGTAACAATAATAAAAACTATTCAAGGGCCTTCATTAAGTAGATTAAATTTTTAGGTTGGAAGTCTTTGATGATATACAATGTGATAGGAATAATAAAGCAGCACAATTAGAAATAATCGAATTCAAAGAGTCAACCTAAAGCAGTTCAATAATTTGAATTGTTATATAAGCACACGTAAAATATACTTGGCAATCTCAGAATAAGCTATTATCAATTCATGATCCAAACCCAACTAATCCAAGACAGTTGCAAAATCACATGGTGGCCAAGATATCACACTTCAATTAACAACCTTTCAAGACATAAGAGTCGTTATGGGCCCATAATTAACAGGCCAACACTGATTCACATGAGTAATTAGGTGTGGAGTGTGAGAGGGTAAGCGAGACAATAGAACCATTGTTAGTGAATATATATTGGGAGTGAAAGGTGAGGAACAATAAGTATAGTGTGGGAGAGACTCTAAACTCTCAAAAGCTAGAGGATTGAGTCTGAGAGTGGTTTCTTTTTTTCGTTTTGCTGATCATTCTATAATTCCCTGTGCTATTTTCTTCTGTTATTACTATATAGTAGGGGGTAACTGAGCTTCGTGACATGTCATACCAGGGTTATCTTTGGGTTCCAACAGGTGTTAATAAAATTAATCATGGAACTTGAATTAACATCTTAAACATTAGGTGAAATGATACTTGACAACCTCTGCAATGGGGGCCACTTATGATAATAAAGGATCTTTAAGCCCCATTGGCCCAGAATAGGTGAAATGATCCAAACCACATGGCCGAAAATAGTCTGGTTATCTTACTCATCAGCTCTTAAAGCTTATCCACTTACCATCAAGTAATCCACTACACAGATCCAATGTGGAACCTAGGAATTCCCGTTAAACACAAAGGTGACTAGTTCATGCTGTTTGACCAAGGCAAAAATAGACACACGCATCTAATGCCATCCACCTATACAAAAAATGAAAATCTCCATCCAAAGAAGAAGACATGATTGGTCAGTTGTTGTAAGAAATTTAGCATATGCAGAGATGTTTGGATGCTTAGCTCTCAGATCTAAGATCATATATTAATTACTTTCTCAATGCATGTGCGTACTTTCAAATCAGCAATGCAGCATGCAAATTAATTTCCTTAGTCATGTTTTAGGGTCAACACTGATCTTTAACAGAAGAAAGCAAAAGTTAGGAAGAGAAAATAATTGTACCTCTTTTGTTTCACGATAATGAACAAGCACTACGTGTTCCAGACTCCTTGAAAATAAAAAGAAAAAAAAAGAAAAATCAAAACAACAGTCATGGGTCAAATCGAAGTTGCCATATAACCAATAACATACAGGCAATATATAAGCATTCGTAACAAGTCATACGTAAAAGTTTGGACATGCATAACTGAGGTGTCAATAGTTAAGCCAACTAAAGATAGGCATACTTGTCAAGAAGCCAATAACATCTACGCACAAGTCTTGGGTTATCTTGGCCATGCGCATAGTAAACATGGATCCTTTCTTCATCACCAACCTGATTGATGGGGAAAAATGATCAGAACAAATGTTCAAAACTAGATACTGCAAATGTTGGTAATGATTCAATCCATTATCAGAAGCACTTGCAACAAAAAACTGCAGGAAGGAAAGATGATCATGAATTTTATAAACTATCATTTGATAAATTTTTTTTTTTAAAAAAATTGAACTTAAACCCAGCAATCGATAACTGAGCCAGAAAATTTTTAAAAAATTAAAAAAGAAAATATAAGAATGCAGCCGAAATGTTAAACAGAGATAAAGATAAAAATGTGACTGAAAAATTATGCAAAAACTTTAGGTTCATGAATTATAACTTACATAGCAAATAGAGTAGACATGTAAACCAAAAGAACCTAATTAATTAACGTCAGTACTTCATACCTAAACCTTGTAAATGTCAAAATTCCCAACAAGAAATTTCTACTTGTAGAAGAAAGTACATCAAAGACACGGTTCAAAATTTAGGCAAAGTACAAAGAAGCATTGTCCAGAATTTTCCAAACCTAATGTTTATCAGGCTACTAGTTGCCATAGCCTACTTTATATGTGTAAACCAAAAGATTATTTATTCTCCATGAAAGTCCGCAGATACAAAAGAAAAAGAATTCCATCATAATACATGGTAAATTCCCTCATAGCCACAGACATGATTAATGTTCTTTAAATTCAAGTTAAAGAAATGAGATACATTACGGTACCATAAATTTAACACTAACGTAAATTAACACCCTAAGGGGGAAAAAACAGAAGACTACTCACTTTTAAATGTTCATGAGCTTCCTTGACAGTTTTCCCATCCTTTTTCTTTTTCCAGTTGTATCCATCTTTTCGAAAGTTCCTAAGCATCTTGCGGTCAAATAATACAATAGTACCACCTTTTTCCATTGTAACATTGAAAAAAGAAATATCAAATTATCCCTGGTTTGACATCATATAATGGTAGCTAAACAGGAAACTTTTAACTCGTATGTAAAATTATTAAAAAATATACACTGAACCTTCTATCAATCAAAATGCATGTTATGAATGGAATTTATCACAGTGTGACCTCAGATTGCTTTATTCACAACATACATGCATGTAGATAAAAATCCCCAAACATGCATTCATATTTACAACAGAACCTTAGTTTGACAAATGAGCTGACGTGACAATGTCGTGTGAAAAACCACTCTATCAGAAGGGAAAGTGCTCGATGGAAATTTAAAACGCATTGCTACACATGATGAATAGAAATAATGAATGGTTGATCAGCATGAAAATGATGCATGCATATCCACTTTACCGAAATCATACTGCTGCCAAAAATAGATGATTACTTGGAGGCAAATGCACTGGCTTCACACGGATGTTGAAATACTTGGAATTACTAAGTATAGCATGAATCTCATTAGGACGAAGCCATCTGCCTTTTGCTTCCTCCATAGTGTTCCTAACATCCAGATCTGGGCCATATGGAAGGAATACTTCAGAAAAAGGTCAATACAGATAATTGAAGTCATTGATTCACATTAATCAATGACTTAGTAAACCGGGTAAGATTTGTAGCTAGGAAAAATTGCAACAAAAGTGCACATTGAACTAATAAATGTCTGCTTTCTTTCAACCCCATGTTAACAGGTACAACTTTCCATGATTGTATCAAGCCAAAAGTTAGGATTATTACAAACCACCTTTCCTGATCCAAATAAATTACTTTTCTCTTTGCTTTCAGTAAGGTCTAAACAATGGCAAAATAATAAGATATCTCGATTGATTTATGAGATGTGGAGAGATTTCATAGCTTGGTGTTATCATTTTTTATCGGAACATCCAGCAGAAGTCAACATACACAGCAATTCTAAGCTCCTAACACCATTACCCTGCACTCCTCACTGTACAAGGTACTAACATATAACAAATACCACGGTTTGGGCACTTTGCCTCAGTACGAGAAACAATTTTCTGTCCATTTTATATTTCCCCATTGTTCTCAGGAAACAAGAAGAATTATTCCTAGTGAACTTCAGCTTTGCGGAAATTACATCATTTCAAGTGTACTGTAAAAAAATCCTGCGATATTAATCACTCACTTCTGTTCTGTTGATAATTAGGGGAAAGTTTATTTATAGGCAAATTTAATAATCCCATTGGCGTTATCCAGAAATTCCAGTAATTTTTACTTCATTCACGAGACAGGATTTAGAACCAACCCTGTTTCTTTTTCGCTTCTAGGCCGCTTCCTAAACTTCACCCTTGCATTTTCAAGACAAACTGACTCCAAAAGCAAGCGCCCCCCCCCCCCCCCCGGGGCCCAAAAAAAAAAACCACAAACAGAAAAAACACAGAACAGACCAAAATTTGAAGCCCCAGGTCCCATTTTGCTTAAGAGTTAAAATAGAGCAGAGGGCGAGTACAACTGGAAATTGAAGGGGAAAGAAAACTAGACTTGTAGGTTGGCATGATCAGAAAAGGAGGGAGTACGGGCGAGTATGTACCTCGCAATGTATGGAATCCATGTATCTCTGAACCAACGAGCTGCCCCGTTGAGTTGTTTGCCATTGTAGAAATCTCTCAGAAAGTTAAAATACCTCTCGGTGCTCAATTAATCATACCCACAATCTTCTTTAAAACAAAGAAAATTGGGAAAATAAAGTATCCCAGTTATTGAGGATAACAAGCTTTAGCTGAAAACCAGGCGGGGAAAAAAAATCAAAGGACGAGCCCAAAAACCACAGAAAAGATGAGGAGGTTACCCGTTTAGAGAGGGAAATCAGAGGAGTGTAGAAGGGAATCAAAGCTAAAATACAATCACTTCGTTCTCGGATTCTCGCTCTTGGCCTTCTTGTCTAAAGTCTTCGCAAGGTGGACTCAATTAAAGCGACTTTCCAGGTGGCGTGGATTGGCTGGGTGAAACAAATTGCAGTTAAAACGCACATTAAATTTATTAGATTTGTTTAACATCTCATGAGAAAAATTGAAAGAAAAAATTGACATGAACAGATTCAGCATCAAATTAAATACTGAGAAAAAGTTGGGAGAGATTTAGTATTAAGTCCTTCATTAGCAATAATTACTGAGAGTTAAATGATAAAAATATTTTTATTAATTAAAAAAACAAAAGTTAAATAAGGTTTTTTTTTTTAATATTTCACATAAGGTAATTCATTATCAATATGTCACAAGGTCCTTTATTGTTAGCAATTTTATATCAGCGCTTAATACAAAGTCCTTTAACGCCAATATTCAACATGAAATATTAGAAGTAAGAGTCTTCAATCATATGCAATAATTCTTCTATTATAGACATTTGAACTTTATTTATATGAAAGAAAATTTTCATTTCTTCAAATAACAGTTTTAAATATTTTAAAGTTTTTTAACTTAAAAATATTCTAGAATACTAAAAGTAAAGGTTTTAATGTTGATGACTTGTGCCCTTGTGTCCATGTTGTTGTGAAGATGTGGCTCATGTGTTGAGAGATTGCTCATCGATTAAAACTATTTAGAGGAGCTTACTTCCCCTATCCTTATGGAGTCATTTTGAATGAGTACATGTGAAGGATTGGATCACAATGAATTTGCCCAAGCAAAGGAGAGACTCTGATTCTGCACAGCAATAAGGTGTGTCCACAATTATTTATTAGGATTTGTGGAAAAGGAGGAATTTGTTTGTTTTTAAGCAGTACTAAACTAGACTTGATGATATGGTGGCACATGCTAAGGTTGCAATTGAGACTTCCCATGATACTCATCTGAGGATGGAAATGCTTGGAGCTACTTCTACTAGTATAGGGAGAATCTTTGAGAGGTGGTCACTGCTTAAGGAAGGATGGTTGAAATTAAATGTCGATGGTCATATTCTGCAAAAGGTGGTGTAGCTTCGTGTGGGGGCCTTTTATGCAATAATAGCAGCAAGTTCCTTTAAGGTTTTATTTCTAGTAAAGTTGCTAATGCCAATAGCCTTTTAGTTGAAATCTAGGCTTTGCTTTTAGGATTGAAGATGGCGTGGGACATTAGTGCAAATAGAGTCGTGCTTGAGTCAAATTCCATAGAGGCTCTTGAGGTTGTGAAAGTGACACCAAATTGTGAACACATTGATTATGACTTGATTTTGGAAGTCGAGCAACTACTCAAAAGGGATTGAATTATTCATCTTCATCATGTTTGTCGTGAGTGCAATATGGCTACAGATTTTTTTGCTAAGGCTGGAATAGTTGCAACTCATGGGCTTCATGCTATCTTCCAATCTTTGAATTATCTCAGAGCAAGATTGGTCATTCATGGCTAATATGGTTCTATGTAAGTAGCTTTGCCTACCCCCTTGTCATATTAAAAGAAGAAGAAGAAGTAAAGGTCTTCAATTTTATGCAATCGAAGTGGGGGAGAAGAGGAAACAACCACGTTCCTTAGAAGCATGATGGTCACGCTTGTCATCGTCATCAATTGCTCCTTTGATGCCTTGGAGCTCTTGGAATTCTTGCCTTTCACTTTTAAAACAAACCTAAACACCATCAATATGCTCTTTTTGCTCTTCACTCCCTACACAAATTCAAAAAGGAGGGAGAGGAAGTAAGTGAGGATGAAGAAGAATAATCAAGCATGAAAGTATGGATAAAAGACAACAAGGAGTAAAGAGAGGAAGTTGCTACCGGAATGACGATAGACGTAGAGAGGGGAGATCAAGAGAGGAGAGGATTTGGTGAGGGCGTTTTAGTCATTCAAAGCTCTAAATTGATGTCAGTAAAGGACTTCAATTTAAAATCTTTCTTAAGTCTTTCTTAATAAACTTAAATTTAGTTATCTTTTTTTTGGCAATTTTTCCTTGAAATTAAAATTGAAATTGAAATTTAACCGTGCTTTAACGAATCAAAATCATGAACTACACCCCTGTGGGACGACAAGTTACCTATCAAGTAGTGCGACTGCAATATGAATCCCCAAAAACAAAAATTGCAGTACTTTTCTCATTTAAGAAATACGTAGGAACTAAGAAATTATCTTTTTTTCAAATACAAGATCACAAGTAACCTTGCAACAAGAAGAATGAGGTCAAATAAAGACTCATGATGATGAAACACTCAAGTAACGATTGTTGAGAATCAAAATGTCAATATTGTTGTTTGAAACTCAATGAGTAAGCCAATCTTCACACTTGTTAGGTTCTCTAAACATATGGTTGAAAGTGATAACACAGTCCTTCACGATGAGGTATTTGATTTTCTTTATAGTTTTGTTGAGGAGATGGTTCGAGTTGTCGTAATGTTAAATAAGCGTTAGAGCTTTAAGAGAGTCAAAGTAAATATTGATGTAGGTGAATTTGTTCCTCCAACAAAGATAAAGACCTTTGAGGATGGCTAAGAGTTCAATAGCAATGTTAGGATGATAGTCAAGATATTTGGTAAAACCTTTTATCTAGTGACTTTGATCACTGTGAATGAGGCTGCCACACGGTGAAACTACATTGGTAAAGGTTGAATCATTAACATTCAATCTAACCCAACCAAGTTTGAGGAAAATCCATTTAGTTAAAGAGCTGCCACGGTCCAAATGAACATTTTCAAGTTAAGATTTGAGAAAGGTTATTGACCTTGGACATGTGATGCGTTTGAAGAATGAGTATCATTAATTTAATATTTAATCAAGTCAAAGAAAAACATTTAATATTTAATGGTCTACATTCCTACCTTGGTAGTAACTCCGTCGTTATCGGATGACGGTTTACCTTTTGACCATTAAATATGGATTACAAGATCCAGTAACAAATTATTTATCTAGGAAAATAGGACATGCCTGTCTAACTTGCGATTTCTGGTTCAAATCCGTGAAAACAGAGTAAACATCTTTGAAAAAAATATTTTTTTAAGACTTGATCTTGTTTGAGTCTGATTCAATTAGATGAACATATTTTAAAAACTAAGCTTATAAACTGGATCATTTTAGTAAATTGGGAAAAAATAGTGCGTAAGATTTAGTTGCTTCATAATTATCCATTTTCATACTATCTATACATGATTTAAAAAATGGAAAATAGAGAGTATGTAAGAATAGAACTAAGCTACCAAAAAGTTGGTTACAGTGAGATGAGATACTCCCTCTATTTAAAAATTAAAACATTTTTAATTAAATCTCGCCTTATAATAAAATAATTAATTATCGTTAAATTAATACCATCTTTTCATCTTTACTCTATTTTATGGGGTGTTTTACTTTAAAATGAATATAAAGTGATTTATTTATTGTGGATACTTAAAAAAAAACTCAAATACTAAAAATACTTTACATTTTTTAACAAATAGAGTATGACTTTTAAGCACATGATTTCAAGTTCCAGTCCATGCAAATATAAAAAATATCTTTAAAAAAATTACCTCCATTTAAACTCAACAATGCTTGAGTTGACTCAACTTGATGACTATATTTAACAAAACTAAGCTTTGTGAATGACTTAGATATATTATTTCGTATTGCATATAAATTGATAAAAATCTTCCATTGGATCCAATAAAATAGTATCCCCAGCAAAAATGATCATGTACCATGTTTTCTTCTACGTCCATCCAGTCCTTACTATAAAGTATTTTTAACATTATTAAATTTATAAAAAAACCATCTATAAATTCCAATTCTACCGTTACTAATGAATGAAATTTAAAACACGCACCCCTAGCTCACGAGGCCACTCGTTAAAATCTTGACGATAAAATGGGAAATAAGTAAATACTATTACATAACATCTTGTGTTGTGATGAATAAAGAAAAAACTCATTATAGTGAAATTAATAAGAGTAAGTGAATAAATAATAAATAAATAAATGCCTTGCTTTTTGTGCCGACAGTTTTGGTTTTATCAAATACCTTTGTCAGTTTCTGTTCCTTTTATACAGTGTTTATGAGTGATCAAGTGCTTTTCTCCTTGTTTGATTTGATTTCTGCTCAAATAAAGTGTTTTTCGCGATCGATCCGTGCTGCAATTTTTTCCCTTCTTTCCCTTATATATATATGTAATAGGAAAAATTGCTCAGAAGGACTCTCACAAATTTATTTGCTTACAAGATAGGATATATCATTTTTGAGCCCCTTCGTTAGCATTAATTCAGAACTTCAAATAATCAAAATGTCCTGACCATATTCCCTCCTCTCCATCTCCCATAGCAATTTTTGGCAACATCTCTCCCTCTTCTTACTCCTTCATCCTTCTTCACCTCTTTCTTACTTGATTATTCTTCCCAATCTTCACCTCATTCCTCTCCTTCCTCCTCATTAAATCCGGGCTCACAAGTGTCAGCCTCTTTAAAGTTGCTCTTTGGCCCACCTTCTCTATTATTCCAACATCACCTAATCGCACTCTCTTCAATCGATAACAAGATTTGTGTTCATGTCAGCCTCTTTAAAGCCGTGATTTTATGCTCTAAAGTTGAAACCAATATTATTCTAATTATCAACTTTCATTTTGATTTTTTTGTCTCTAAACATCCCTTTTTGATTATTGCATCTATTTTGCACCTTTAACTTGTAGGAATTATACTTGTTATCAGACATATGTTATATAATACTTGAGGCAATAGGGGACTAATGCTTTGGATTGACAAATAGGCATTTACAATTTCTTTAGGTTTTAGGGTTCACTAAAAAAACAATAACCACCCTTTTTCTTTAATATCTGTGTTCTATGTCATTTTTTTGGTTAAGAGGGTGAAGTTATATTTGCAATGACCATGAGATGTGTACGTTTAGTGTTTTGGCTTCTCCTAAATTGCTTTAGTGATTGAAAAGATTAGGTGAGAAGAAGAGGATGATGTACTAAAAAAATT